GCGCTGGCAAGAAATTCACCAGAATTGGAAGCTCAACACTTCTTAACCAGAACTCCAGCAGGTGTGTGCAAGCCACACTGCCTCAGGCACCCAGAGGAATCAATGCACACCTGAGGACTGGCACACAGCCCCAGCTGGGAGCCAAAGCCCTGCCCCACTGCTCAGCATGGTGTGGTTTTGGAAATGAGATGATTCCTGAGATAGCAATTACTGATCTACTGATATCCATGAATAAGCACCTGATTCCAGCCAGCAATTGCTATTAACAAACTACTGAAGCTATAAAATACCTTTTATTACACTGTATGGGAAGTCAAAACTTAATTTTCCCCACACGATTTTCTGTTCTATTCCTACAAAGCTAGCAAAAGCCACAGCAACACTTGACAGGTCACAGTTAGGTTGCTTACCCTGGGGCTCTGTTTCAACCTACCAAGCAGGTGACTTCTCCAGCTCATCATTCCACAGCTGGAACATCAAACATGAGCATTGCTGAAGACAGGGTATGCACTTTGAGCCACCTGCAGCAAATGCTGCAGAATCTAACACAGAAGGCTCTGAAGGAGACCCCTCAGAATATCAGCTCTACACAAGTCCAGTAGCCTTCAGTCATTTCTAAGTTTTAGATAAGCCCAATGGAATTAGCACAGCTGAAAAACAGCACCTTATGCTATAAACTGGAAATAGACACTGGTGCTCTATTTGGAAGCTGACTGGGCAGCAGCTCTTTCCCCATTCACAAGCTATCAACTTGGAACAGCCACAGAACTGCACTGTCACCAACTTATTTCCATTCAGCTGCAAATAAACAGTGCTCACACCTATTTCTGACCCTGCTTCTGCAGCTGAAGCTCCAGCCAGATTGCTGCCCTGGAGAGCTCTCATCACAGCCAGCAGGCAGAGTAGGTGCTAAGCAGCCAAAGCATCAACTTACTTCCCTTGTTTCACAGAAAGATCCTGGTGACTTAATTAAGTAACTTTCAGAAATACAAGGTGGCAGAAGCACAGGCAACTTCCCTTCTTGTTTTAGGAGTTACATCCCCAGTGCCGATGATACAAGACTTCATAGAAAACATTAGTCTGTGCAGAGACTGACATTACACCTAGAGGAGTGCTGGTGTCTGAGTAAGCCCCTGTACTCATTAAGTACAAGACATAAGTATAAGGGGTTCTGTAAGGACAGCATCCCCAAAGCCCCTCAAAACAACCAAGAATGAATGAAAAGCACTCCATTTTCACCTGCAGTAAAAAGTGATGCTCACTGATGCAAGTTACACAGGTTAGACATCTGCATGGCACCTGGAGACAGCTTTGAGATGCTTCTTTCCCATGCTTTTGCTGTGTCTTGATGCTTCTAGCTGCTGTGCTATGAGGAGAGCCACAGCCTCAGCTCTCAGCACAGCAACGAGCCTCCAGGTACCATCCTGCTTCCTTCATGGCAAAGGTAAAAAAAGACAGCAGAATAAAGGCATCCCAAGGTACAGAAACAGACAGAAAACTCTGGTGCATCACTTCCATCTAAAAATACAAGCCCTGTAGGAACAGGAGTTTTAAAAGGCGAGGCTCTAAGTAGATGCCTGGGCTTCAGCTGAAGACAATTTATGCTGTTTCAACTTCTAAGAGCCACCCGACCTTTGATTGCACACCTACAAACAAGAAGTTTGTAGAACCCACACCTCTAGTCCTGCAAGCATTAACACTGCTCTGAAGCAACAGAGAAAGCAGGAGAGGACAGCAGAAATTACTTACAGACTAAAACTACAGCCTGCTCCACAGAGGAGGACGGTCTTCCCTACTCAGGGCACGAAAACTCAACATTCACTTTGTACTATCAAGCAGAAACAACGTATCTGATAATCACTGACCTACTTAGAGCCAGCCACAGCCACCTTCTCAGGCTGGATGTGGCTCTGGGCAGTCTGGTCTGGTGGTTGGAGCTCCTGCCTGTGGCAGGGAGGCTGAAACTGGATGATCTTTGAGGTCCTTTTCAAGCCAGGCCATTCTATGGGTCTATGATTCTCGGGTTTGGACTCGATGATCTCTGGAGGCCCCTTCCAACCCCTACAATTCTGTGATTCTCTGCATCTTGTTAAGATGGATACAAACCAGTAATCCTGAAGCACAACTTTTGAAGCAAAAAGTTAGCAGCAGCAGTTCGGTGCCTCCTTGCAGCCAGCAGCTGCAGCAAACGACAAAAGCAGTGACTTGCATGGCTAGCCAGGCCTACGTGGGATTACCCACCCCAAAGCAGCTCCAAGAATCACGATTTCTACTGTAACTTTGTATCATCTGTTCACACAGAACAGATTTTTGACCCTATGGCATGCAACCATTTTGGAGCTATTTCACTGTGAGCGTTGAAAGAGATGGGAAAGAGAGGGGAGATGGATTGCAAGCTCCAAGCCTTTGGAAAAAAGGTTGCAGATAGTACCAAGCTGGGCCATATTTTAACAGAACTGGCTGCAAAAAGTGCTGCCCAGCAGCCTCACCTTCTCACATCCTCCTGAAAAAGTGGCGTGCAGATCAGCAGGGATCTGAACAGACCTCTCACTGCACAGGGAAAGCTGATCACACAGCAGTGTCTCCAAGCACCAGCTTAGTGCCACTCGGGCTGCAGTAAAGCAGCAGTGATGAGAAGTGCTGGCTCTGGAGAAGGAATTCTCCTCCAGGTCTGAAGAGGATGAGGAGCAGCAGCCCAGCTCACTTTCTCTTGCTGTTTTTCTTTTTTCCTAGGTGATGTTACAACACAAGCATTGTCACAACACAGCCTGGTAACATCACAAGATTCAAGTCCACAGTGCTGGAATTTATTTGTGCATATTTAAACGGGGCTGAATGAAGAAAGGCATTTTTTTTCCACTTACTTCATCCAACTGCTGTTCCAAGCCAACTACTCACTCTAAAAGTAGCAAAATGACCGAGCTATCAACATCCAAAGAGCTCAAGGATCTTAAAAAAGGAAATCTGGTCAAGCAAAACACACATTTCAGAGCCTGCAGAAGTGGCAGCACCTCAGTGCTGGCAGGAAGAACGGGATGGATCCTCCGTCCATCTTAAATCAACTTAAGTAGCAGCAGAGCTTCTCACCTACATAAAATATGCACTGTTCCTGAAGCTTTGAAAGCACAGCCCAAGAAAAACACCCCTGCCTACGTAATTACATCCTTTTTTGCTCATCTTCTGGGGAAAACTCACGGGTGAACTGCAATCTTTCAATCTCAGGGTCCACGCATCTTTTGAATAAGGGAAGGTGTGAGCAGCTCAGTGTCTGTCAGGAAGCTCATCCTGGTTGCTGTTACACCTCCTATATGAAATACTCTTTCCACGTCTGTTTTATTCACATACAGGTTCAAAGTTAATAGAGGCAATGCCTTACTCTGCTCCTTCCCCTGCAAATAAAACATTAAGGATAAGCACTGCTTAGACACAGAAAGGGAAGATAAAGGGAAATCAGTTTCAGAACTCTCAACAGAAGTTGAAAAAGAAAACAAAAAAAAGTAGCAGTGTCCCAAACCAACACAAAATTAGAACTGAGCAGAAGAGTAAGCACACACTTCTGTCTCAGATTGAGATTCAGTGCTTAACTTCAATGGAAGCCCTCAGCAACAGCTTCATTCTGGATACTATTCCAACGCAGAGATTTCTGTAGCCCTCAGGTATACACAGTCTCTCCCAGCAGAAAGGTAAGGTGGTTATTTGCTGGCTGAGTCAGTGCAGCCTCGGGAGCTGCAGGCTGTTAACTGCTCACACACCCACTTCCCTGCTCCTGGGGTTGAACTTCCAAGCAGGTTACAGGCAGTCAGTGGGGCAGCCTGACTCCCGAGATGAAGGCAGCCGGGAGCACTTTGCTGCTCACCGTTAGATCTCATTAGCAACAGCACGCTTTCAAACGACGCTGCCTAGCTTAATTGCTGCCAAGCCGCATAGCAAGTTAACGATGGTGAACCTCTGACACCAGGATCAACGCCCAGGTGGTTCAGGGTTGATGCACAAACACATTCATTTAACATCAGCAACTCCAAACGTCTGCCTGCCCCAAACCCAAACTCACCACAATGCCTTTGCCACTGAGCAGCTACTCCCCAAGGTGATCTTCCCTTCCAATGTCTCTTCCAGGAAAACACTTTGACAGATGTTTGTCCCCACATCTAAAGATATGACACATGCTCCCCTACCAAATCACAGGGCTTCTGTGCACCAGGCAGATGCAGGGAAGCAGAAGCACCCCCAGGAACAACCAGCTGAAGTTCACAGTCATGCCTCTTAATCAGCTTGTGAACTCCTTCTCATGGAGTGAGACAAGAACTCCTCACACCCCCTCCTTTCACCCCCAGCATCAACCAGGGGAATGACCCGTCAAGCCCTCAGGCTGCCATTTACTTCTAGAAAACCTGCAGTAAGAGAAAGAAGGGGTTGAAAGAAGAGAGGTACTGGCAGGAAGCTTATGGGGGAGCAACTTTTTGCACGGTCTAATAGTGATAAAACAAGCATGAAAAGCTTTGAACTAAAAAGGGGGAAACAGAGGTTATTCAGAGGGCGGTGAGGAACTCAACCAGGCTGTCCAGACAAGCTGGGGGTGCCTCATCCCTGGAGGTGCCCAAGGACAGGACGGACGTGGACCTGGACAGCCTGATCTGATGGGTGGCAGCCAACCCACGGCAGGAGGTTGGAGCTCAATGATCTTTAAGCTCCCTCCCAACCTAAGCCATTCTATGATCCTAGGTTGAAAGTCCCAGCACGGTGCCCCGCAGCGACCCACCTTATGGCAGCCCGGATAGGTCGCCATGGAGTTGAGGGCAGAGCTGCTGGGATTCTTGCTGGTGCTGGCCATGATGTTCTGGATCTGGGTGAGCTCCTGCCTCAACACCTGCTTCTGGTGGAAGCTGAAAGCGGGGTGGTTGGACGCCATGGTGAAAAGCAACAGGAATTCATCCCCGGTGCGGCCCTCGTTGAGCTGCAGCCCGTAGTTGTTGATGACAGAATCGATGTGGGTGAGGGTCCGGAAAAGGACCCCGGCGGCCTCGCGGTGGGCAGAACCCAGCAAGGCGAGAGAAACCAGCAGTTTGCTGCGTACCACTTCGTCCGTCAGGTTGGTGAGGCTGCCCAGATCGGCGGGGTTGTTGGCTTTGATCTCGGAATCTCTCAACGAATGATAATCCTTCCGAGCCAGATCTTCCAAACAGGCTCCCAGGAAACGCAGCTCCAGCGGGATGCACAGATCCAGCAGGCCGCACAAAAACTCCACTCTCTGAGGCGAGGGCAGCTCCGAAAACCACCGGTACACCCCGTCCCGCTGCAACCGCGGGCAGCGCTTCTCCACCATGGTGCTCCGCCGACCCCCGGCCCTCAGGGAACGCGCCCGGGGACCCCTCGCACCGCCCCCTCCGCGCTGCCGGCCGCTCCCCCGGGGGCCGAGGGGAACCGGCGTTACGGAGCGGCCCCCCGCGGCGGGCAGGGCCCGGCCGAGGCCCCCCGAGGGCGGCCGCCGGGGGCGCAGGCCCGAGCGCTGAGGCGCGGCCTGGCCGCGGGGTCCCCGCCCGGCAGGCCCCGAGCAGGCCCGGGCGCTCCCTCACGGGTCGGTTCTTTCTTTCAGCCTTTCCATCCTCCGTCCCGGAGAGCCGGGCCTTCCTCCGGAGCGGTTCCGACGTACGCGACCGAGGGAAAGAATCCCTCGCTGAAGGCGGCGCGGAGGCGGACGGCCCGCGGCGGAGGGATCCCGCGGTGAGGCGTCCCAGCCGGCGCGGAGCGGGGAGGGGGAGAGAGAGAAAAGAAGGAGCGACCGAGCGCCTCCACTCCCGGCCTGACCCCGCGGCGAGGCCCCGCCCACCACCCTCCCCATTGGCCCGGCCGGCTACTCGCGGCTGGAGATTGGCTGTTAGCGAGCTGCACCCGCCTCCCTCCCTCTGTCAATCGCTACCGTTAGGCGCCCGCTTAGCTCCGCCCCCTTCCGCTGATTGAATAGGGGAGGGGCGGGAGCGGGCGGCTTTTGTGTGGGGCCGCGGGCGGGCGGGCAGGTTGGGGATGGGGTGCTGTACCCCCTGAGGGGCCGTGGTGGTGGCAACGGGGTTGTCTGCAACAGGAGTTGCTTTGGCAGTTGACTTCAGATGGTCAAAAATTCCAAACATTGCTCGTTTATCCCTTTTTTTCGTTTCCCTCTGGAATATCGCAGCCTATCAAACCGCATTCGTTGATGTCCCGTTCAAATGCAAGAGCGAGCATCCGACAGGAGCTGGGGATGCATGATGTCCCACAATGTGCAGCTGCACAGCTCTGCTTCTGCAGGGCTCCTGCTGCAAGAGGGTCCTTGAAAAGCCCGAAGCCCCTCAGCGTGCTTTGCTTGCAAGCAATCCATCGTGCAATGGAAACCAGATGGACTTCCTTTTCCTGCCGTGCCCAGTATTGTCCCTTGGAGGAGGGGAGATGCAGAGGAAGCTCTCAGCCCCTTAGGAGAGGCTTACATTGCGTTGAGTTGGGGGCCAGGCAGCCTGCAGGAAAACACCGAGCTCTGGGGGCTTCATTGCCTACGTTGGTGTCTTTAACTCAGCTTTAATCCATGCTGAAAGCACCGTGCTGAGCAAGGCAATCTCTAACCTGAAGCCCAGTGCGTGAACTGGGAGCCTTTGATCAGAAATAGCTCTGCGTGAAGCCCTTGCAAACCAAAGCAAGGAACCACCCTCAGCAAAATAAATCAGCTTTGTGGCAGCTCATGTTACTCCTTGCTCCAGGAATGAAGGTCGTGCTGGGGTGCAGCCACATGCCTGAAGGAGAGCAGCTTTTTGGACAGCAAAACCACCCCATTCCCTCCATCGTCTATCTGTATAAATTCCCCTTCTGCACACTTGAGACAAACAGCTGAGGAACGTTCCTTGCTGGAATAATTAGTAAATACTGAGAGTGCAGTTGTTTTCCTCTTTTCATACTTTCAGCACATGGAGAAGCTGTTACTGAATGTGCTGACCCATTTTTTTCCAGTGCTGGACACATCCACTTCAGTTCTCACCCATCAGCTGAAAGGTTTGGGCTGTTCTCACATTGCCTTGATGCTGCATCACAAGGAGCACAGCTGAAGTGCTTCTTCTTCCTTTAGCAGCACAACAAAGCAACCTCAGCCACATCCACCACTATAATTTCATCTTTGTGTGCATTGGACTCAATGCAACATTGCTATGATGTCCAAAGGCATATGAAAATTGATCTGTGTGAATTGGGTAGCCCTGCAGAAGAGGAGATATTTCAGATTATAGTCCATCCACGGGGTGAAAAGAAGATGAGAATCTCTGTTGAAATGAGAGGGAGAACTCCATGTAAGTTGCTGGCTAAAGGCCTATTGAATTGCCCAGCTCTACCCTCAGCCCAGAGCTTCCAGCCTGCAGGTCTCCTCACAGGGGTTCTTCCCAGAGCTCTCCGTAGTTCTCTGCTTGCTTTCAGAAGCTCTTCAACACTTGTCATTAAACAGGCAGAATTACTTACCGGTTTGGCATTTCTAGGCATCCTAAGCACAGCTTAGTGCTGCCCCTTTCCAAAACCTCACTCCCCCTTCCCAAAACTGCTCACTCCTGAACAGCCCAATGCCCACTTCTCCCATTCCCCAACCCCACAGGGCTGCAGATTTCTGATCCCAAAGCAATCTTTGCTGGCAGGACACACAAGCAAGCAACGGGCTTGCGTGCCATCGGTGTGGTTATACAGAGGGGAAAGATAAATATTGCCACGACATGAGCACTCAAGTACTTCTGTGCACATACGTTATTTCCTTTAAGGTTTCTCACAGATGCTGGGATTGGAACTCTTGCTTTTGAAAAACAAACAAACAAACCCCGGCTTTGAAGAGCACAGAAAAACATCACGTGAGGAAAAAGTAATGAAAAAAAAGCCAGATGTCCGGCCGGCAGCATCTCTTATCTTTCACATCATAAAAGGAGCGTGTGCGGCTGGGATGGGGCTCGGAGGTGGCTGCAGATGGCAGCGGTGTGCCGGGTGGGTGGCACTGCCCTCTGCCGGGCACACACAACCCGACACTGGGGTTTGTCGGGGTGTTTTTCCCTGCTGGAGGCATCACCGATAGGGCTGCACACCCCCCAAGTAAAGCTGCCCCTTGGGTTGCGGTTGCTCGGCCCCGGGAGATGCTCACAGCTTTCTGGCTTCGCCTGGTTCCCCACAGGGTTTTGTCTCAGCACGAAAACCCACAGCCCCAGGCTGCCAAAACGCTGCCCCCGGCTTCCTTCCTCCTTGCATTCATCCCTGAAACCGCTGCAAAGCAAACATCCTCGGTTTTCCCTGCCTCCCCCTTCCCACCATCCCAATCGCAGCCCTGCTATTCCCCTTTGACTCCTGCTACATTCCTCTCCTCCCCCAATCCAGGAAAGTCTCATTTGGGCGATTCCATTTCCTTGTCCCAGAGCTGGCACAGCTCCTTGTGTGGATCCAGCCCCCCATGGGTGCCCTCCCAACAGCCCAGGATGGGTGCACAGCTCCCAGGCTGCAGTTGGTGTCCCACATCTGATGTTGGAATCAGCCCTTCTACAGCATTAATTTGGTCTTTGCTGCGGCCACATCTGGAAAATAAAGTCTGGAAGTGTTTACTTGAATATTCCAGTGACATTCCTTGGGGTGTTTTCATATCACATCCCTCCCCTCTTGGCTTCGGGTTGGAATTGCACTTACCAGCTCGATTTGTTCAACGAGAAAGCACAAAAAAAAAAGAAACACGCACAAATACTTACAAAAAAATAAATCAGTTTTTCTTTGCAGTGTTTAAAACCCATGCTACACTTGCTAGCTCCAGAACTATCAGCTCGGTGAGAGTTAATGCCACGTGCCCTCCCTGCTTCCTGCCCTGCACCTCCAACACCTCTGTGCAGACACCAAATCCTGACACGCTGAGATGCGTGCTGCAATGGCACACTGGGGGTTATTCCCTGAAGAAGCCCACAAATAACTTCTGAACCACAACCAGAATGAGAAAACTGAGGTTGCTTCACAGGCAATTCATGAATAGGGAAAAAAAAAAAAAAAAAAAAGATGAAATTAGCTGAATGAACTACTCATTATGCATTATTCAGCCAGCTGTACTAATTAGTGCCTTAAGGACTGATCTTGTTCCCACTGCAGCCAACTCCAAAACTCCTTTTGATTTCAGAGGGAGCAGGACAGAGCCCTCAGAGAACGGGCACGATGCCTGCTTCCCCTGCAATGCCTCTTGTTTTTCACTGTTACTTATTGATTCCAACTCGTCTGTGTCTTACATTAGAAGGGCTACTTCTACACTGCATGATGGTCAGTTGATAGCAGGAAAAGAGAAGCACCATCTGACCCACAGCTTGTGCCTTGGAAGGAACCTTTAAAGGCCATCTGATTCAACTCCCCAGCACTGAACAAGGACACCTACAGCTCTATCAGATGCCCAGAGCCCCAACCCACTTGACCCCACTCACTGGGCACAGTCTCACTACCATTTCCTCATCCACCAAACAATTCTGCTCATCAGATCCACATCTTTCCCATTTGGAGAGAAGGATGTTGTGGGGGATTGTGTCAAAGGCCCCATTGAAGCCCAGATAGTCATCATTGGTGGCTCTTCCTTGTCCACTGACTCAGTCAAGCCATTGTAGAATGACGCTGGCTTGGTTATCCCATATCACCCCCCTCTCTTCCATGTGGGAGATCTGCTCCATGGTTCCAGGAGGATCTGCTTCATGATCTTCCCAGGCACAGAGGAGAGGCTGACAGATCAGCAGCCCCATGTCAGCATTACATGGGTTTTACCAAAGTCCACCTCTGTACCAACAGAACTCATCTTCCCATATCTCTGCCAGGGGAGCAGCAGCACTGGTTGCTGCCAGTGGGTTCCATCACTGCTCAGCATGGAGGAATCTCCCCAGCCCTACTCCTTGGGCTTCTCTCCACAGACTGCCTAAAATGGGTATAAAAGAGCTTTCCAGAGGAATTTATTTTCTTAAGACCATCCTTAAAATAACAAACAGAAGAAAACTGGTGACACGCAGTACATCTGTTTCAATAACACGGACCTTCTGTCTGCAACAGAGGAAACTCCAAATAACTCTTTGATTTGTGTTTCCTTTCTTCTCCTTCCTCATCTCCTCCTCCTCACTACTGTATACAAATCTGTTCTGCAAGCTCCATGCCTCCAATTCCCTCTCCCTGACAAGCTTGTTTGTATGCCATGTGATAGCTATTTAATTTCCTCCCTGCTCCTGACACAGCTCCTATTTACCCTTCCTTCTGGGACTGCAGCTCTGTTTGTGAGATGATGTGGAGAGGTGAGGGCAGCCCTCCTTTAGGTCCTGCACACCAAATTCCTGCCCTCTGAATTCCTGCAACCCCACTCCAGGGAAGCAATTAGGATTGAGAGCCGTGCTCCAAGCTAGCACATGTAAAGTCCTTCCCTAAATAGGGATGGCACACACAGCAGAGCCATGGAGTCACCGTATGGCAGCAATGTGCTATAAGAATGGGGTTATGAGGGTCTGCCCCAGCCTTGGCTGCTTCCCCAGAAGGATTGGGGCTGTGAAACAGCAGCTGAAGGCTACCTCTGGTTTGTCAGCAATCCATTGAAAGGCACAGCTGTGTCAAGCAGAGACTGTGGGGCACCATTTCCAACCATCCTACAGACATCAGTGCCACCCTGATTAAGGCAGGTGCTGTGCTTGGTGGCTTTGAACAAAGGAAAGCCACAATCCAAACGGAGCTGGGAACCATCATTTCCTCATTAAACACATTTCCTTTCAGCACTGAGCCTTTCACTTCGTCACCGCATGCGATTCCTCAAAGCCCTCATAGCTAATATCACAACTATAGATCCAGGGTTTATTTATAGCCCCGAACTCCGCAGAGAGCTGTGTGCCTTGTTGCTGTGGAAACCCTGAGTCTAAAAGTAAAAGAATTTTAACGGGATTTTAGAAGCAAGCTGCCCAATTCCGGCAGCAGCCTTTGCTCCCAGAGCTCTACCTTAAACTTCCCAACAAAATGCATCCCCTGTGCTCAGCAATCCCAAGGGACAGCAGTCCTCCATGGGTTT